CTCGTGGCTTCATAAGTGCAGCCACGTCGCGAGATGGTCCACGTCGCCGCGTGGCTCTTGCCCTCAGTCGCGGCACGCCTGGACGATCGCGTGTGTGAGCCTCGCGAGAGTCCTCGCGGGCTGAGATCCTCTCCACCCCCTCACCCCACCCGTGGGCTCCACACTGTTCAAACATGTGCGTCGTTCTCCACGCGGTGCACAAGCCCTACTCTACTCACCTCATACCCGCCGCCCTCGACTAGAAGCACCCACCCTCCATCGCGTTCGAGCATATAGTATGCTCCGCGACGTACTTGTGTCGGATGTTCGTCTTCACGCGGCCTCCTCCACCGGCCTCTGGTATATCTACCTGCGATGCCCGCCCAGCCCCCCACAGGTGAGGTCTCCCCTACACTACTGCCTACCCGGTCCCGTTCTAATTCGCCTTCGGTCTCCGGCGCTCTATCCCGGCTTCTATAACCTGACCAACGCCCTCCCACAACCACATCTACCGGCGCATCCTCACTCGTTCTCGCGCCAACGCCCTCTCCCGCGCCCGTATATTTGCGTGCCTCCACGCCTCCTGATGTCGACACGGATGGTATCGGGTCCCGATGACCTCTCCTCGGTTCAAGATGCTACACCGCCGGGTGCGCCTTCTCTTCCCACCGCACAAGGGAAGAGGAAGAGCTCCCGCGTTGGATCGGCGGGAAAGGACGTCCACAGCGGGAAGGGCGCTGGAGCACACGGAGGACCATGGGTGCGTTGCGCCCATTGTCTCCGTGTGTATTTCCAGCGCCCCGAGGTCGCGCGGGCCCGTCGCCTGCAGCACTGGCCCACGCAGGCCCTGTCCCGACCCGGTGAATGTGTCCGGTCGGGACCGCCGCTTGCCATTTCCGCTATCTTACTGTCCCATCCATAGGCTCTTCGGGCAGTCGTCCACGACGACGAGTTGGAGCGCTACCCCGGCCTCTAAAATGCGCCTGTACTTACTTTGCACAACCGTCGACAATGAACAGTTTGTTGTAATCGGTTGTATGGGACCCTTGTGTGCATCTGGTGGAGTCGCGCGTGCAACGGCTGAGTTGCGTGCACCCCTCGCACACGCGACGGAGCCCCGGGCACGTCTTCTGGGGAAGCGGACAGGAAAATACGGTGTGGACGCGAGCGCGCTCGGACTCGCGCTTGGTGCGCGAGCTTGCTACTAGCCGCGCGACAAACATCTCATTAGTGCGCACACCGAGGCGCAGCGAAATATGGGTGCGCGTGGCACGAATTCGTGCTCATGCGTTACACTGACATGTGGACGATGCGGCCCACGCGCGGACTCATGCTCGCATACGTACCACATTCTGCCCCGAGGACGGATACATCCGTACCCGGAACAGATGCATCTGCACTCACAGAACAATAATTATTAAGGGTGTCTATTACATATGATGATGGATGCAACCATCCTGATAAGACCAGGTGCATCTGTACCTGATGAGTAGCTATCGGAACAGATGCACCTGGCGATTAGCTACTGTAGGATGCAGATAGGGCAAAAAGGTGGCAATGCGGCAGCTGTCATGGGCAATTGGCTGGGCGTACCAACGCGCGCAAAGGTGCATCGAAACGGCCTTGAAGAGGGGAAGAGAACGAACCTAACCGCGTCAAAAACGAGCTCCGAACCGTCAAGAGATGGGAGCATCAAGTAGGTGATGTGGGGGGCGATCTTGTGTCGCACAAGACGACGTGCAGCGGGACGACGGCGGGTCGCATGGTGAAACGGGGCGGCTCGTTAGAAAGAGGGTAGAAACGCGCATAAAACAAGCCCGAGATGTCGTTGAACGGTGGAGAACTCGGAGGAGGGTAAGGTAATGAGGGTGCGGGCTCGGGGTGTGGCAGTCGGGCGCTCGGAGGAAGAGAGCCATCAAACGCGGGCGCTCGGAGTTGAACGACCACCTGCAGGCGGGCGCTCGGAGTTGAATGACCATCAAAAGCGGGCGCTCGGAGTTGAATGACCACCTGCCAGGCTGCAGGTGGGCGCTCGGAGTTGAATGACCACCTGCAGGCAGGCACCCGGAGTTGAATGACCATCAAATGCAGGTGCTCGGAGTTGAACGACCACCTGCCAGGCTGCAGATGGGTGCTCGGAGTTGAATGACCACCTGCAGGCGGGCGCTCGGAGTTGAATGACCATCAAACGCGGGCGCTCGGAGTTGAACGACCACCTGCCAGGCTGCAGGTGGGTGCTCGGAGTTGAATGACCACCTGCAGGCGGGCGCTCGGAGTTGAATGACCACCACACACAGGCACTCGGAGGAGGAGAGCCATCAAATGTGGGCACACAGAGTTAGTATGCCTATGGCAGTGTGTATGCCCATGAAATTGGGTGCTTGGAGGGTATACAGCCATCAAAAATAGGCATTCAGAGTGTGTATGCCCATGGAAGTGGAGCACTCAGAGTGCTATATGTGCACAAGAATCATTGTGTGCTTCACATGCATAGGATGTATTACAAAGAATGGGGAGACATGTGTGGCACAAAAAAAATCCTGGGCGAATGTCAAACAGTGGAGAACTCAAAGTGGGGTAGGGTGGCAGTTGGTGGATGGGGTGTAATAGTAGTAGCAGGTGCTCAGTGCATACTATACTATGAACCAGGGTGGGTGGTCTGCACACATGTGTGATTGAGAACGGGCACTCAGGAGTTGGTGTACATACCATGGACATGAATGGGTGCTCAGAGAAAATACTAGTAACCATAAGCAAGGGTGAGAACGTGTTTGTATATATGTATATGTTACAGTCACGGAGCGCAGGAGCATGGAGGTCGGGCAAGTCGGAGACGAGCAGGAAGTCAGGTCGGATTAGAGGGACACACTTGACCTCGGGGAGGCTCATGATAGCGGGGGAGACGGGTAGGAGAGGTGACAGGGAGGAGCTAGGAGGCAATCGCAAAGCGAGACGGTAGGTGCGGGAATGGTATATAAAGCTAATGATGGTGGACGACTCTCATATGCTAAGGATCTGTAGTGGGTGCACACCAAAGCTTGTAACCATACAGGTGCAGCAGGCTATAACATATATAAATTTATAGTAGCCACAGTGGCAATACACGGGATAAGCGCTGTGCCAATATGAGTGGCAGCCTAAGCAACAGGCTTATACAAGTGGTAGCCTAAGTGACAGGCTCATATGAGTGGGAGCCCAAACAACATGCTCATACAAGTGGCAGCCTAAGTAACATGCTCATATGAGCGGTAGCCTAAGCGACAGGCTAATATGAGCAGCAGCCTGGGCTACATGATAATAAAGCAGTAATAGTAGTGGCATAGTAACAATGCTATAGACAGGCAGTGAAAGGCGGCTTACACAGGTGGCTGTGCACTCATATGAGTGGGAACAGAGGCTACAAAGCGCCCACTCATATGAGTCCACCCGAGCGGTATCCCTGGGCTACAGTGTCAAAAATATGACTGGTATCCCTAGCTACAATAGCGGCATGCACTCGCACTCCGGCGTCGCGCACTCGGGCAGATGGGCGATATGTTGTGTCGTCGTCGCTGGGAGCATGCGAACGTGGCGAATGTGATGTTTCGCCGCGTGCAAGTGTTGAGCTCGAAGGGCGAGACGGGATTGGGGTGTAGGGACGGCTGCGTGTCGCGCCTGCAGTCATATCGAGGGCTGCAGACGACGACGACGCGCCGAAATGGTCTTGTTGGGGCGACCTGTGACTCATAGTATTCAGTAGACCTCGTGTAGAGGTAGCGGGGAGTCAAAAAAGATGTAAAATGACAATATACGATCGCACCGGTGCCAGACTCGTCCAAACCTTCGATTGAGGTAACGAATACAGCGGTAGTGCGGGTAGAGGTAAGCTCGCTTCCGTGGGACGCGCGTAGAGTACATAAGAGTCCGTATGGTCTCAGATCGCCCGATCTGATGGCCGAAGTTCGGCGAAATACTTCGCCGAAGTCAAGACGCCCGAGCCCTGCTCGCAGCGTGGCCGAAATTCGGCCGGTACGCCGAACTCCGGCACCGAAATCCGGCACGTGCGCGCCCTGCGCGCCCGTACCTTAACACCAACCCCTGCACCAAGGTCGCCACGAAGACGGGATAGGTGGTGAAGGTTGCGGGAGACGACATTGCGCAGAAAGGGGCTGTTGTACTCTGCCCCTTTTCGCTCCGCAATGGCCTGCAGAAGCCGGTTGAAGTACTCCTGTATCAAGTCGGCAGCTGCAAAGCTCCCGGGACGCCCCTTGATGTTGACGACAAGGCTCGAAAGGATGGCACGGCGTAGTTCTTCACTTGACTCCAGCTCGAGAGCACAGAAGAACTCGAGGAGATAGGATGTGTAGTTGCCATGAGGGGAGCCAGCGAACGTAAACAACATCACCTAACAGCATTATGGCTAGGTCAGCGCGCAAGTCGTGCAGTCCAGGACGAACATTAGACTCACTTTCATAGCCTCGTATATACGTCCGACATCGCCTTCATCAATAGCAAACAGGCACTCGCGCAAGGTCAAGGTTTCGCGCATGAAATCGATCGCATCAGCAAGGACACGATCTCCGTTGAAGGGTTTTGGTGGCTTCTGTGACTTCTTCCCCTTCTTTGCAGTTGGGGGTGTAGCGAGGTCGGAGCTTGCACCGTCAGACTCGACCGCGACCAGAGCAGCTGGCCCAGGAGGGAGCACAAGCGCTGGCCATGGTGTGCCTTGAGGGATGCAACTCTGACCTGTCTTACAGCCTGCAGCGCAGTCTTCTCTGTTGTGGAAGTGCACAGGTGCCGTGGAAGGGAGAGCGGATGAACTCCGAGTCGTGCCGGGCGTAAGCGCCAGTCCCGAAGTGCCGCCCTCAAGAGTAAGCGCCGTCACGGTCGCGCGCGCGCGCGCGTCCGCTACCGGAATGGGTGTTCCCGTCTCGGAATCCTGCAGTGAGGCACCATAAGGACTTGCAATGGGACCTGTCTCGGTTTGTGTGATGGGGGCTGGATGGGCAGTGGCAAAGCCTGCCGCAGCTGGAGCTGTGTCGACCGTGATGTGGGCGCCTATATCACACGCAAGTGCGCGTTCTCCGGCCAGGTGTGTGCAGAACATATGATAGACGTTGGCAGCGTCGCGTCCCAGAGATTTGAAGGGTGGTACTGTTTCGAGACTCGAAAAGTGTGTGAAGATGTCGTCACAGCTGTAATAGACCCTGTTGGACACGGTGCGTCAACATCATGCATAACTACAACACATAACTTCCCTGTCACCACTCACCGGAAACAGTCCAGAATGTGCGCATCGTGCGTTGTCTCCACAATCTCCAAAGCCTGATTGAAGTCAGGTTTCTTGAGGTTCGAGGGAGGACGTCGGTGTAGCTTTGCCGCGCTATACCCGAGTTTCGATGGGTCCTTGGTCACGAGGTTGTCCCAGTGCGTGGAAACGATGCGACTGAGGTCAGTCCATGCGGTGTGCCAGGGTGCGAGAACAGGTTCGATTGTCCGGAAGCTCTCGAAGTCGTTGTCGTGGAAGCGCAAGTAGTTCTTGAGTTGGATGGTGCGGTCAAAGGTGAGGCCATCGCCAACGACGAAGGTGACCCGGCGCTTGGGCTTGGTGTTGTCCTGGCCCGTTTGATCGAGGAAGTCGATGAGAGCGTCCTTGAGCTCGCTAGTAATGGTCTCATTCTTCGCGCAGGAGCCGAGCGGATGAACAGGAGAAGCATGGGGGCCAGCGGGATCTTCTTTGCGTCTTGGCGATAAACTGCGGACACATCGGTCTTGTACCGCGCAAGCTCCGGAATGTAATCGACGAGGGTGCGCAACAGCCCAAGGGTCCCGACCGTCCTGAGATGATCTTGATCAATGAGCTTCAAGAGCTGCGTGACTGTCACCGAAGCGCGGAGATTCTCGTCCAACCGACGCTGCTTGTCGTCGAAGTCGAGGGCTGATGGGGAGACGTGCGGCATCTCTACAAATGTCGCGGCCATGCCAATGCTGATGCCGCTGACGCGACCGACGCACGCGTCGCGCTGCCGGAGGTAGTTCTGCACGTTTTCTGTGATGATGCAGACAGCGGTCTCGGGGCGGGCTCCAAGTTCACGGACATATGCCGCATCTTCTTCTCCGAGCCTTGTGAGCATGTGCAGTATGGTGGAGTATGCGGGGGTGAGGCCGAGACGGGACGTGTAAGAGAACTGCTCAGCATGAGCGCAGAGCGAGAAGTAGAGGAAGCCGTTTGCGGAAGGCACGAGGCTGGCGCGATTCGTCCGGGAGAAGTCAAGACTTGAGATAGCGTTGGATACGACCTAATCAGATGAGCACGAGAGCTTCTCCGGGAGAGAACGCGCTCACCAGCTCGGGAGGACGACGTTCGCGTAGGGTCACGGGGTCCAAGTTGTCGGCTCCGGTAGGCAGCTTCTTCGCATTTCGGTCCGCGACAGAGACCAGGAGGTCCCATAGAAGTGGCTGATGCTGTTGGATGATGCCAGTCGCAGTCTTGAACGTAGTGGCACCGATGTCGACCCACTGCAACCTCTCGCCTTCAGGAGCATCAGCGGTGGGCTTGCGTGCGGTATGCAGACCATGATCAGGCTTCACGGCAGCCTCCGCTTCTTTGACGAGGATGCGTTGCACACGATCTACTGCAAAGCGCGTGAGGGCCACACGAACGGGAATCGGATCCTCCATGGCCACGGAAACTTTGGTTTGAGCCCATGAATCAGCCACATGTCTGGTACTACGCCCGTCGGGGTGCCTCATCCACAAATCCAACAGTTTGGCAGGTGTACAACTTTTATTAACGCCCCTTAGAAAAGTAGACACCGCCTGGGCATGTCTACTCTCGCGATGTACATCATCTCCATAACGAAACAACTCCAGCAGGAACTCGCCCACGTTCCATTTTGCATCCTCATAGATACTCTTGATAACAACACTCAACTTGTCTCCAGCCCGTGTATACCCGCGCGTGGTCCGCGCCTTCACTTCCTGAGTCGTATTCTGGTCGGGTGCGCGGCCGCAGGTTGGGCAACAGGTGAGAGGGAGAGCGAAGGCGGACGCGGGGTCTGAAAGAATGGGAAGGGAGGACGGGGGTATGTTCTCCTTTCGGGCACGCTTCTTGGGTTCGCGCGAGGCGTTAGTGGACGAGCGCGAACGTTTGGAAGCTGGGGGCGGAACTGTTGAGCCCCGAGGATGCATGGATGGATAGCGAGGACATACCTAGTACTGATGGAGAACGCGGGGACGCATGGCAGGTGGGACTGTACTGCGTGGCAACAAAGCCCTCGTGTGCCCAGTTTGCAAAGACGGAGGGTGTGGGTGTGGTGCAGAAAGTCGGAGAGTGGGGGACGACGCTGCGCTGCGCAGGGGTCGAGGGTCTGGGACCGCGTCGGAGTGGAGTGGACGGGACTGAAGGGGGATCTGGTGGCCGGTAGGGTCGAAATGGAGAGGCCATCTCGTCATTCCAGCGCAGAGGCGTGGACGACATGGAGAGGGCAGCGGACGCACAAGAGAGACCAGCTCGATGAGCGCGTCGCGCGCGCTGCGGCCTGCGGTGGCAAGATGTCTGGACCGCTCGCGTAAGCCCAGTACCATATCCAGTAATGGCTTCCTTATCCGGAAGTCGCTTCCTTATCCGGTCGAGAACGGGGAGCGCATAATTTCAAATGGGGGACCTGCGGTATCGGGGGCGCGTCTGCTAGCAGACCTTTGATAGTAGAAGGGCTGCCTAGGGGAGACTAGGAGGAGCCCAAGCACATTGCCTCCCCGATCGCGCCCTACAACCCCGAGGTCCGACATGAGCATCAACTTTCCAACTTTTAGTCCGGCGTAGTACGACGAGCCACCAGATTCCAAAGTGCTTCACCGAGCACGATTCGATGACGTCGCGCGGCTTCCATGTCAGGAGGCGGCGGTAGGGCACCTTCCGTCTTTGCTCTCGAGCAGGTCAATTTTCCTCATCTCTGCCATTCTCGCCCATGTCTCATCTCTCGTAGCGACCCCTTGAACCTCCTTCTCCCCAACCCCCTCGCCGGCATGATACACAAACTGTACGAGGTCTGGATCACCTGCGACGGCAAACCCCTCCCCGAGTACTCTGTGCGCCCTCAGGGATCTGACGGGCGACTCGCGACGTGCTACATCCCCAGCGAGAGCGCAAAAGTGAGCACCGTCCTCGCCCAATCGTTGCACACGAAGCGTTCTCACACGCCCTGCAGAACTTCGCAATCCACTGGCACGATCGCGCAGCCACCGACGACCTCAGCCTCCTCTTCGACATCGACGGCCAGCGGCTCTCTGTCGGCAAGTTGTGTCGTGCGGGGAGGTGTGGGCGCAAGGCGGGGATAGTGACGGCTGCTGGCGCGCGCGCGTTCATGTTCTCGGAGCTGATGACCACCGGTGCGTTTTGCATGTGGCTATATGCGTCCCCAACTCGAGCCTATGGTGCCCACCGACCCCAGACGACGATGCCGGCGCAGGGCCCATCCACCGAGACCTGGGCTCCATCAGAGTCAACCTCACCCGCGTGCGTTCCAACGCGAGCCAGGTCGACTTCCTCTCGGAGCAGTTCGCTGGAGTGGGGCCTGTCCACGAGCGAAGCAAGATGTCCGGGACGCATGGCGTAGGGTGAGTGAACCCCGCGCAGATGTCTGCTCACATACTGAAGCCGACCCTAGACTTGGTCACGTCCACTCGCCCCGCACGGTCGCGAAGCGCAAACACGTCAAGGCACCCAAGCCGGTTGATCCCTCTGAAGGCTGCATCGCGGTCTTCGTGTTCAACTACAGGCCATATGGTGCGTCCGCGTTCATCTCTTGCGCGATCAAAGAACGGAGGCGAGACGAGTGCGGGTGTAGGTGTATTCGGATAATCGTGGTTCGAGCCGGACTACAGGCTGGCTATATGCACACGTCCCCGTCCTTTTATTACCATTTCTTCGGATTTAGTCCACGTATAGCACCGCTCACGCGTCTTCCTCGATCCCAGCTGTGCTGCAAGCACAAGGAATCGTACCCCTGATGACGCATTTCCCTTCAAGACCTCTGTCGGTGGAGGATGACACGCCTGTCCCTGACCTCGTCGAGGTGAAGAAGCGCAGCTGCTCGCCTGACCTTCACACTGTTATAAAGCGTTTTCAAGAAAAGGATGAATACAGCACTTCGTCTGATGAGCAGGACCTGATCTTGTCGCCTGCAAAAGCAAAAGCGTCTGAGTCGGATGACGAACTTGAAGCGCTGCAGGCAAGCCTTCGCTCACTCAGAGCCCCGATCAAATCTGACCGTGGTTCAGCGTGAGCTCAGCGACATGCAAGAGAAGTTGGCGAAGGCGATCTTGAAGGGAGAAAGCAAGTCGTTGAGCCCGAAGAAGGAGAGGGCGTCGGTCAGCCCGAAGATCGAATGGGCATAGAGAAAGACCGCAGCAACGTCTCGCGCAGACCCTGGACAACCTGTAAACTTACACAAGCGTCGCCGCACGTCGCGCGACTCCCTTTCATGCACCAGTAAATGAGTGCAAACAGAGGAGCTGCAAGCACGCACCTCGAGGGCGCAACACAGTGAACGTGTCGAAAGGTAGGGTGAAATCCGCGCCAGGCCCGCTTCTGTTCGCTTGCGGACCTCGAGGTCCGCGCGCCACGTCTCCTCTACAGGCGTTAACCACGGGTCCTCTGGAACGTCGCCGCCGCACCCGCGCACACGTCCATGAGCGGTCACGGTGGAGGCACGGCGGCGTGCGTCGGGGCCACGCGCCCAACGCGAGGCAGAGCGCGCGCGAGGGGAGCGCGAGCACGCGTGCACGACTCTGAACCTGATCGCCTTGTAGGTACCGAAGTGCTGGATGTTGAGGGCGAGCATGGTGTCGCGGCGCAGCTTCAGCCCCGCGATTCCTGGGCGACGCAGGACTATGTACTGACAGAAGATTGAGAACTCGTGCACTGGACTCCGCAGAGTCTAGATTCGGGAGAGGAATGCACCGCGACATGACGTCAGCGTGTGCAGGCTACAGTAGCTAATCGCCAGGTGCATCTGTTCCGATAGCTACTCATCAGGTACAGATGCACCTGGTCTTATCAGGATGGTTGCATCCATCATCATATGTAATAGACACCCTTAATAATTATTGTTCTGTGAGTGCAGATGCATCTGTTCCGGGTACGGATGTATCCGTCCTCGGGGCAGAATGTGGTACGTATGCGAGCATGAGTCCGCGCGTGGGCCGCATCGTCCACATGTCAGTGTAACGCATGAGCACGAATTCGTGCCACGCGCACCCATATTTCGCTGCGCCTCGGTGTGCGCACTAATGAGATGTTTGTCGCGCGGCTAGTAGCAAGCTCGCGCACCAAGCGCGAGTCCGAGCGCGCTCGCGTCCACACCGTATTTTCCTGTCCGCTTCCCCAGAAGACGTGCCCGGGGCTCCGTCGCGTGTGCGAGGGGTGCACGCAACTCAGCCGTTGCACGCGCGACTCCACCAGATGCACACAAGGGTCCCATACAACCGATTACAACAAACTGTTCATTGTCGACGGTTGTGCAAAGTAAGTACAGGCGCATTTTAGAGGCCGGGGTAGCGCTCCAACTCGTCGTCGTGGACGACTGCCCGAAGAGCCTATGGATGGGACAGTAAGATAGCGGAAATGGCAAGCGGCGGTCCCGACCGGACACATTCACCGGGTCGGGACAGGGCCTGCGTGGGCCAGTGCTGCAGGCGACGGGCCCGCGCGACCTCGGGGCGCTGGAAATACACACGGAGACAATGGGCGCAACGCACCCATGGTCCTCCGTGTGCTCCAGCGCCCTTCCCGCTGTGGACGTCCTTTCCCGCCGATCCAACGCGGGAGCTCTTCCTCTTCCCTTGTGCGGTGGGAAGAGAAGGCGCACCCGGCGGTGTAGCATCTTGAACCGAGGAGAGGTCATCGGGACCCGATACCATCCGTGTCGACATCAGGAGGCGTGGAGGCACGCAAATATACGGGCGCGGGAGAGGGCGTTGGCGCGAGAACGAGTGAGGATGCGCCGGTAGATGTGGTTGTGGGAGGGCGTTGGTCAGGTTATAGAAGCCGGGATAGAGCGCCGGAGACCGAAGGCGAATTAGAACGGGACCGGGTAGGCAGTAGTGTAGGGGAGACCTCACCTGTGGGGGGCTGGGCGGGCATCGCAGGTAGATATACCAGAGGCCGGTGGAGGAGGCCGCGTGAAGACGAACATCCGACACAAGTACGTCGCGGAGCATACTATATGCTCGAACGCGATGGAGGGTGGGTGCTTCTAGTCGAGGGCGGCGGGTATGAGGTGAGTAGAGTAGGGCTTGTGCACCGCGTGGAGAACGACGCACATGTTTGAACAGTGTGGAGCCCACGGGTGGGGTGAGGGGGTGGAGAGGATCTCAGCCCGCGAGGACTCTCGCGAGGCTCACACACGCGATCGTCCAGGCGTGCCGCGACTGAGGGCAAGAGCCACGCGGCGACGTGGACCATCTCGCGACGTGGCTGCACTTATGAAGCCACGAGCACGTGTGAAGGTGCTGGGGAGGAAGGGAGGGCGCTGCCGGTTCCGGGATGCAAGAAAGCGACGAGGTGAGGGTGGACAGTTGAAGATGAGGCAGTGATCTGGCCGGCCCAGAGGCGCCACTCGAGAGCTTCCCCGAGCGCGCATTCGCAGCGCCCGATTTCCCGTGGAGGAAGACGTGCAAGCTTCACCCACGCACGATTGGACTGCGAACGATCTTGCATAAACTTGGAGGCGAGTATGAGGCAAGCCAGGAAGGTGCAGCGGGGACAACACAAGGGGGAGGGGAAGCGGGGAAGCGGGGGCAGAGAAGTGCTGCAGAGGGAGGGCCGACATGATGCGCGGGCGTCGATGTCTCTGTCGCCTGTCACCGTCGCAAACGGTTAGAATGGTGTTGCTGAGATCGTGGGAGATAGAGCTGACAATGCGAGGCTCACCGACGACACCTTGCACAATCCTGGGCTCGACGGAGGACAGATGATCCAGTCTTCTTGGTGCGGAGGATGTCGGGGATCTTGGCGCGAACGGCCTCCAGATAGCAAAGCGCGGTTTGGAGGACATCGGTGGACGTTCGGGAACGACAGAGGACCTCTGCACAAAGCCCTTGATCGGAAGCAGATTCCCGCTGACGGAACCTTTGGGCGACTGTGAGTGTGGCTCGCACCCGCTCGCGATTGGAGAGGACATGCGGTGCGTCGACGACGATATCGGGGAGAGAAGCTGTGTGTTCCGCGACGAGAAGATTGGCGCGAGACTGCGAGGCGATTGCGGCGGACGAAGACGTGGCCTTGAGGTCGGGCTGTGCACAGAGCCCGTCACTGTTACCAACAAGGTACACGGCCGGAATGTCATCGGTTTGCCGAACGTCTGAAGGTGTTTTCACGGCTTGATCTGGAAAGACGGTTGCCATGAATATCTGTTCTATCGCCCGCGACAGAAGTAGGTATGCGTGACACCCGAGGGTGACCGACGCGCCGATGCACTCGCGCGTGCGCCAGGACGACATAGCGCGTCAGGGAATGACACAGTGTTGCTCGTGGACTGGCCCGCTCCATAAACATTAAATCAAAAAAGTACTCACCAACGAGTTTTGCGGCATATTTTGACTTTTGAACATCCCGGATTGAGTCGGGCGATGGCAGTGATGTCTTGATGTCGCAGATTGGGTGGAGGGGGCGGTGGATGAAGAAGAGGTGGCAGATGAAGAAGCGGGGGTGTGCAAGTAAACAGGAGCCGGGACAGGTGACTTGGAAGTGTGGGATGCGAGTGTGTGGCATGCAAAATGTTGGAAGCATAGGGCTGCCAACGGGCCTTAGCGCGCGAGGTCGCGCGAGGGCCGCGGTGGGGCAGCGAGTGGGTGATTGCATGGATATTCATTGTCGATAAGTGTGCGGAGACTGGGATCTTGCGGAACAGAGTGGTGGCGAGGGACTATTACCAGATTGATATGATTCAGAAGAGAGCTGGGCGAGGTCGAAGGTGGACTGGATGATAATGATACTGGATATTGTGTGCCGAGGGCGCTGGAATATCGTGCCGGAGCGCAGCGCAGGGCCGAAGGACGCAAATACGTATTCATTCAGCAGGGTCGTTCCGCCTTCTAGCTACAGGCTTTCAACACCACGGCGACGGAGCACATACAACACGATTAGATGATTATGTTCCTGTGTCCTGCGTGAGCAACTGCATCTGTGGGCAGGGGAGGGACCTACTCAAGCGTTACGTGGGGAGAGCGAGTACAATGGTGGTCACTTTGGCCAGCCGATGTTGATGGTGTCGAAAAGGTCACGGGGCTCCCAGGTGGTTTCCCCAGAGCACTGCTTGTGCCCAAGCTGAAATTTTGCACAGCCGTAGGCCCCCATGATGTCGGAGAGCGAGAAGATGTCCATCGCGATGATGTCTGTGACCTTAGACGCCACGCCTTGCATCCGATGGAGCGGACCTTCATCGTCCTGAGAGACTGCGTTAGCATGTAGCATCGCACATCAGGGCGTCGGCGCACCTCTACGTATATTTTGGTCGTCAGAACCCACGGCTTGTCACCCCAGGGGATGTCCTCGTTGGCCTTGTCGAGTTTCATGTCGAAAGGCCGCAGAGCGTGCGCCGCCTGGGGCAGGCAGCGGCCGACGAAGGCCGCAAGGAGAGTAGGTGCTGATGACCAGGCAGGATGTCGGTGAGTGGGACGACTGAACACAAATGGCGCAACTTACAGATGCCTTCACGGCAGCTTGGACCTCTGCAGCGTTGGCGCTGGCACCGGTGTAGTCGTCACGGAGGAAAAGCGTCGAGGCCGCGCGACGGCCCCGCGACAGCTCCACGGCCCGGGGGCTTAAGGACCCACGAGTTGACGACCTCGGATCCGACGAGCCAGGGCCGGAGGTCCCGGACGCCCTCAATGGCTGGCAGAAGGGTGTTCGTGTCGGCAGAGGGTCGCTTGGGCGAGGGCACCTCAGCGACCTTGGATGTAACCCCAGGCCCTTGGCCTGTAAGCGGGTGGGACGTAGAAGGGGTGGTCGCGACTTCCAGGAGGTCGCGAAGAACGTGTTCGGTCGGTTCCTCCTTGATCTTCACAGTCTTGAGCGGGGGCGGGCCATCGTTCTCGTCGTCCGAAGAGAGGGAGATGACGGAATAACGGCGCTTGCCAGAGGTTGTAGTAACCATGTCGCCGTCGCGAGCGAGGCCCTGCTATAGCATGAACTACTAGACACGAAGGGGAGGGGAAGAAAGCGCACCTTGCCGTAAGGACCGCTGTTCTCCTTGTTTGAGCCCTGCAAAGATATGAGCATAGG